AGCAAAACCAAACAGTTAATTAAACACATAAAAAATAATAATTTAATGTAGTTCTATGCAATAGACCTACTTCCACAGATGAAAAAAAAAGATCGACTAGTTATATAAAATTATAAACATATAATCAAATCAAGCACTCATAATTAATACCCATAGACTCTCTCAATCTTTTTCAATCCTATGGAGTATTCTTAACTTAAATAAATACATACCCATGTGTACACTTTCAATACAAACAAATACATACCCAAATGCACTCATGCATCATAACTATGTGTGTTCTCTATTAGTCTCCTCTAATCTATTCACAAACATTCAAATATACACACTTATAAGATGTAAATCTCCAGTAGTCTTATGAGGTGTCTATCTCATAAAACTCTATAACTTTCTTACATTTTTTTTCTCATATCTAACCCTATAGAGACTTCACCGATTTATAAGCATACAAACTTGTCTATTAAGAATTTCTTTCCTTTAAAAATTCTTTTTTTGTAAGTCTTTTTGTCTATCAAGTAATATCTAGCTGATTTCAACAAATCTCTTATGAGATTTGAGTCACTATTCATAATAAAAATTTCAGTAAAGTCCCCCATACACATCTATGATGTAGAATATTGTCCTGCTAGATTCCTCAATATGCTCCATGCTTGCCTTCTCCTCCTTGTATCAGGTTTTCCATAAAATCTCTTTAGTCTCCATACTATTGTTCCTCCACTGTCGTGTACCTCCATATCAATGTGATTTTTTTAAAAACTTGGCAGTTGGAGATTGATACCTTCTTTTCATAGTATTGCCAATCCCCTTGTAGTTCCATTCGTATCAACACTAAAACATGACTTCATTCCACATTTCCTTTTAACATAATCCATCTTTCTAGCATGTAGTTTTATTTTCATTAGAAAGACTACATGGCGATCCTCTGTCTTCAGCAGCTGTCGAAGAGCTCGAATTGCACGTTGGTTCCCAAGCCCACGACAATTCCATGAAATACATTTCATGGTTGTCAGCGGGGTTGGCACCTAGCCTCCACCATTTCTATTGAATTCCTTCCTTTGACTTACTCCTCGATCCTCACTTTCTTCGGTATTTTATCTATTGTCTCTGGCCTACTTGTGATATCCATTTCCATCCCAACAACCTTTTTCTCCACAAATTCAATTCGATGGTGCTTGGTGTTATGTTCTGGTTTTTGGCCTTCCTCTTCCAGCTATCCTTCCCTTTACTAATGTTTACAACTACTGCATGTAATTGAAATTCCTCTCCAGTTGTCCCATCCTCAACAATTATTGCCTCTTCCCGTGTAGCCCTAAATGAGTTGTCCATCTCAACTTTTTTTCCACTTTATCAGCCGATTGTCTTATTTCCTGTCCGCTGAATTTTCCCACTTCTTCCTCTATGCTTCCATATTTTAAAGTTTTCATGCACGTGATCTCTTCATTCAAAACATTATCTCCAGTGTGATTTTTGCGCCTAAACTCCTCCGTTAACTTGGTGATAGGCACACCTATCTTAACTGTCTCAAAAAATCTTGCCTTAGGGCTCTCTGGGTGTTTGATTCTCGACTGGCTCCTTCTTCCACTAGTTGCATCCGTCGCCGGGCCACCTTCTTCTCTTTCACCTTCCCCTGTATGCAAAATGCTAGTGGTGTTCATACTTTCATCCTTCCTTTGATTGACAACCCTCCCACTTTCGGCCTGTGGCTGTCGATAGCCTTTCTTGATTGGTGATGCCCTCAATCATTCTCCATATTGCTTCTCGTTCTCCATTCCTGTACCATCTTCATATGTGTTTGTGCATTCACTTTCTATGCGGTCCATCATTTTGCACACATAGCAAAACACCGACTGCCCTTCATATTTAAGTCATATGTTGGTGTCGCCCCCTTGTTTTGCTAAAGCAACAAGCTGTCTTAACAGCTTCGTCACGTCTATTTCTACTTTTATTCTCAAGAACCGTCCCCATCCCAGGTCATCCGTGTTATCATTTATTCCTCTAACTATTTAAATTTTTTGCCCTATCGTTAAGCCACCGCTTGTTTAATCCACTTCAAGGGATGTCATACACTCTTACCCAAAATAAGCCTTCCCTTAACTTGTCCTTTTTTTTATTCCAAAACAGAAAAAGATTATTATCAAGAAAACATATGTGGACTTCTTGCACCAGTTTCCGTATGACTCTAAATGTGCTTACATCATGATTAAACAGCCTTGTCGTTAATAATTTCTCTACCATCCAACAATCTGCTTCTGTGTTTCCCTCTTCATCTTGCTTCATGTCCATCTCTACACTCTCATTCTCCGCCTCTGTCAGCGTCATATTTTTCTATGCACCTTCCAAATCCTCTGCCATATCAACCTATGGTATTACCTCTGACTTCCTTGCACCTTATTGCCACTAACTACAACTCACTGACTATTCAACCCTAAGATTGCTTCACCAAAAAGATCTTGATGGCAGACTTCGTGTCCTACTAGAACTCACTCCTTCCATAGAGATTCACTGAGAAACCTAACTTTTTAAATACGAATTATTTACATATATCATGAAGTTAATGTTTTAATATCATTTTATTTGTAAAAATTACCTTATAACAAGTACTTTTATAATCTTAGTATGACCCGACCCTTTTTTCGGTGACAGGACTAATCATGTTCCCATATTGATTCGTCCCTTTTATTTTTATTATCTTTGGTTTTTGAATTCTCTCTATTCTTTTACAATATACTAATTTCATTGTCAGAAATAAAGGTATAAATTATATATTTCGTGTACAAATTATTTAGATTTAATTTGGATAAAATTTAAATTTTATTATATTATTATTTAATTTAATTTAAATAATTTAATTTATCAAATAAGTTAAATTCAAATATTTTAATATTAAATTAAATATCTCATGAGCTTAATTAAGTTTTTATATTTTAATATATTTTAATTATTTAATTAATATATTATTATTAACTTTTATATATATTAATTTAAATTTAAATTTAAATAATTAGGTATGAAAATCGAGCTCATTTATTTGATAAATAAATTTAATTAAAAGAGTTTAAATAATTTGACTTCTATCTCATATTTGAACTAAAGAATTAAAATACAATCTAACTCAAATTAAGTTTCAAACTATAGATTTTGAATAGAATTTAAATTTAAAATTTTCATTATATCAACTTAAGTATGTCTTTAATCAAAGAGTACTCCATAATAATAAAGATTTTGTGCCACTAATCATCTCTATCTCTGTAGGTCTTTAGCTAATCAGCACCATCATGGATAACTACAACAGATTTTAAATTCAACAGTTTACCATCTTCTGTAATTAAATAAAAGTAAAAGTGTGAACAAATTAACTTGTAAAAAACCGGAATAGTATATAATTTCAAGCGTGAAACTAAAAACATTATTATAAACACGAGAATTGATAAGATCTGCGCACATGGGAACTTGTACCAATCCTTTCCCCGTCAGTATCACGTGCTAGTGCAATTTGTTAAAGGCCATAATAAAATAATACTAAACTTTTTTGCGACAAGTGGCAGAATGGGTTCAGGTTCAAGGATAAAAGAATTTTAAAATTACGTACACTTTAAATAAAATTTAATGAATTTTTATTAATTTAATTTATTTATTGTTAAAATTAGTATTGATTTTATCTATTATTATTATAATAATAATGAAGAAAATATTTTTAAAAGTAAATATTTTGAAAATTCATTTATGTAATTGAATGGAAAATCGATAATTAAATAATAATTTAATTATATATATTCAAAAGTATTAATAATAAAATTAACAAGTTTTAAAAATATAAAATTGCATCTAGAATAATTTAAAATTTTTAACTATGATTGTATATAAAAATTTTAATTTTTTAATATTATTATATTAAAATTATTATTTTTATAATTTAATTTATTTAAACTAAAACATCATTAAGTAAAGTTTTTTATTGCCGTTGGTGACAAGGAAATTCATTAAAAAACAAAGAAATAAAACGATCAAACGACAGATATGTTGTATACAATCCCCGAAATATATATCAATTAAAAAAAAGGTTACGTTTAAAGATGACGATTCAGGAACAACAAAATCTTGCTGTTGGAAAAGAACTTTGTTTGGCAATGTACAATGAATGGCATTTTCTATTCTAACCTATAATGACATCATCAAAGTTTTGGACATTTCTTACGCGATTCTCTCTCCACTGATAAAAGAATAAATTCCTGGCTGTCATTAACACGTGAATACCCTTTTATATAAAAATAATTGACTAATATATTTTTAATTAAATTTAAGAGTAATATTTAGTTAAATTATTTTTATTTTTTTAATTAATTTTAGTTATTTTTATTTAATTTAAGACATTAAATTTCAATCATATCCTAGATTAAAAGAGCATTATTTATCTTTTGATAAAGTAGTTAAAATTTTTTTTTTACTTTTTAAGTAATAAAAATAATATTTTCTCATGCTAGTAAATCCAAACTAAATTTTACAAGCAGTCATTGAATTTTGACAACTTATCTCACTAAGTCACTAAGCTCATGGGGATGTTATTGTGGTAGTTTATGTTATAATCACATATATTTTTAGCAGTTGTTTGGATGAAATTTGTTAGTGATTGAATTTGAGATATCTAATAAATTTTAATGATTTAAATGAAATAAATTGAAGTGCAGTAACTTCATGAAAAAAATCCAAAAGATTGACTAATAACAGTAAAATTTACTCTAAATTCAATATTTGGTTAATGAAGGTTTATAAATATTATATAAAACAATTAAAATATTATTTAAATTTTTTATATTTAAATGTATATTTTTATTAAATTTTAAAAATAAATCATTATATATATTTAAATTTCATCTTAGTGAATGAAATGAAATTAGACACCGATTAATATTTTTCCACGTCTAGAACGCTTGACTCTTTGTTTCAAAAGTCAAAGTTTGACTATTTTTTTTTTTAATTTCTAAAGCCAGAGTTTGACCCATTGAAGTTAGCGTACCGTCTTGGCAATGGCTTCCACTTAGACCTAAAATCATCAAGGTTCTAAGTCATCCCGTAATATATCATTATCCATTTAAAATTTCTGACTTCTCAAATTCTTAAAAGATTGACTGTCTCTGTATTGGAAAAGAAAACCATTTTTTCTCCTTAAATTGTTTGAAAGTTGTAGTTGCTCTGATGAATCAAAGGATGAGGGCATGAAAGTTGGTAGTTGGAAGTTTGGCTTCATCGGAACCTTCCAGCTCTTCTACACCTCAACCCAATAATCTTTTATCTAAAATTCATTCTTTTTATTATTTTTACCTAACCATCCATCGATAAAAATTTTGGGTGTTTTACAGATGCTCAAAATTTTGGATTTTTAGTGGGTTCTGCATACTTGAAAAATAGATTATGTAGAAATTTGAGACCGTGGCGAAGGGGGCAGTTACCTTTTGACTGTGGGTCACATTGCATGGCCAACAACCCAAACAAAAAATTTCATTTCCGGTCCACCGACCTGTTGAAAAAGACAAAGGGAATGAATGAATGGTAAGTCTTTCCAATGGTCGCGATGTATTTTTGGAAAATGAGGAACTTAGTGGAAAACCATTTTCAAAGTTTGAAACCAGCAAGAAAGTTATAGTCAGAAGAGAAAACACCCGTGTCATCTCCCCCTTCTATGATAGTAGAATAGTAGCATATTATATGAGGGTTTTAGCCTTTTTATTATCTTATGCGGGGGCAGAGCAAATCCTTCTCTTTTTCTTTTTGGGTTTGAAGAAGACGAAGAAGGAGGCTCTGTGTTAGAATTTTTCTTTTTTTGTTTTTCGGGTGAGTTTGAGAATATGATAAGATGGTGGATATTTGCTTTGCAATTAGCAGAGCTGTTTATTAGCGCAATTGTGCATGTGCTATATGCGTTTTGCATAGTTAGCACGGTTGTGGCTGGTGACCTTTCTCAGGCTCTGAATGAATGGTTTTTTAAGCCTAATGCAAGTATAGAGGTGAAAAGAGAAGATCCTAGTGGGACCAATGTCGATGATCTGCCTCCTATTGTATTGGTTCATGGCATTTTTGGATTTGGCGGAGTAAGTTTATTTTCCCTTCAATATACATATATATATTTATTTATTTATATTTATATTCATTAATTTGGGTTTTTAGTTTTAATCTGGATTTTTTACCTGTTGGTGGCAGAGATTGGGAGGTATATCATACTTTGCAGGGGCAGAGAAGAAAGATGAGAGGGTTCTTGTGCCTGATTTGGGATCTCTGACCAGCATCTACGATAGGTAGGCTGCTTATAGCTTGCCATTTAGTTTTGATTTTGTATCTTTATATGGGAATTTTGAGAGGGATTTGGTTGGTTTCAGGGCTCGTGTATTATTCTATTATTTGAAAGGAGGGCAAGTTGATTATGATGAAGAACACAGCAAAGCTTGTGGGCACTCACAGTTTGGACGAATTTATGAAAAGGGTAAGCAGAAATTTCCTAGCTTTTATTGACTATAATTGCTGTTTCTCTGTTTTATTTGAACAAAATCACCCACTTGGTTGGCCTGATTAAGTGTTTAATTTATTCACTGTGACGTTGGGATGCAGGGCATTACCCAGAATGGGATGAAGATCACCCTGTTCACTTTGTTGGCCATTCAGCTGGTGCTCAGGTTGTGCGTGTCTTGCAGCAGATGCTTGCTGATAAGGTTAGTCCATTTCCCATTCATGTGAAGAATCATCTCTTATGGACTTTTTTCTCCTCCTGAGTCCTGATATATGATTATTTTCCCAGGCATTCAAGGGGTATGAGAATACTTCTGAGAACTGGGTATTAAGCATAACAGCCTTATCCGGGGCATTCAATGGGACTACAAGAATTTATTTAGACGGAATGCTGTAAGTTCCCTTTATACTCATCTTCTTTGGCTTGAAATCTTTAATTGAAGCGGAATTATGTCATGTATATTAAGTATAGTAAATTTTACTATTCCAGATTTTGTGATTGAATGATACCGTCATAGCGTTCAAGTCCAACAACTTTCTCATTAGATAAAAAAAATCATGTCGTTACTTATTTTTTTTATCTAGTCGAGATTGATAACTTATGGGAATTTATTCCTTTTAGGGGGTGTTTGTTTTGGGGGAATCCATACATTTTCCCTCGAAATTTTACTGTTGGATATTTGAATCCAATATTTTGTTTAGGATAATTAGATTTCGGGGAAAATTGATAGATTTTCAACAGTACCCAAGGTCTCAGAATCAAAAACCCACCTCTTCTTGTGAGATTCCAGGATTTTAAGAGGGGGAGAAGTAGTGCTATTTTCAAATTTGACCTAAATAAAAAATTATGAAATAGTCATTACCTTTTTGATTTTTTGAAGGGGATTATTTAAGGAATTTTTAGACTAAAAATATCTTAAATAATCTTTTATTTAAGGCATTTTTGGACCAAAAATACCTTAAATAATACATTTTTATTTTTTTAAGGAGAGATTTAATCCCTTATTTAAGGTGTTTTTGTACAAAAACGCCTTAAATAATCTCTTTTAAAATGTATCAGCAAATTTTTTAAGGCATTTTTATTCTAAAAATGCCTTAAATAATACTCTTCAATTTTTTTTATTTAGCTTATTTAAGATATTTTTAGACAAAAACATTTTAAATAGTTCCTTTTAAAATTATTAGCAGAAATAAAAATGCCTTAAATAATACTCTTCAATTTTTTTTATTTAGCTTATTTAAGATATTTTTAGACAAAAACATCTTAAATAGTTCCCTTTAAAATTATTAGCAGATTTTTAAAGATATTTTTAGTTTAAAAATGCCTTAAATAATAACCTTCAATTTTGAAAAGGCTTATTTAAAGCGTTTTCGGATAAAAAAGCCTTAAATAATTTCTTTCAGTACTTATAAGATTTAAAAAATAAAATATAAAAATACTTGAGTAACTCAGTTAGTTAGAGTATATGACTGTTAATCATAAGGTCAAGAAGGGCGTTAATCTGATCAAGGAAATCTAAACCGACCATAAACTCATAATCATCTAAAGGTGTTACCTCAATGGTCTCCTTGTCCTTCCAATCTCTAAGTTGTAGCTCTATCCCATGTGCCACTCCAATTGTTAAGACCTCTTTAGAGTTGACTGTCTTGATGGTACCAATCCTGTTGTGCACTTTCAGGTCAAGTTTTTGGGCTTCATCACCAAATATGAACAAATGTGAAGCTTTTGTGTCCACTAGAGCGCTCACTTTCTTGCCCGTAACCAATAGATCCACATACCTTAGTCCCTTTGACTTGCGACTTCTTTTACCTTTGACTTGTAGCATAATTGAGCCAAGCTTTGTAGTCTCCTTTTTTGGCTCATTATCTGACCTTTTGTTTATAGCATCCAAATTGGCTTTCTTGGGGTAATTTTGTGCTACATGTGGCTTTTTACACAAAAAGCAAGTGTTCGACTCCCGATCTCTCTTTGCCTTCCATTTCTTTGTTGGTGGCTTCCCTTGACCATCCTTGGCTGAACGATCTCGGTCTTTATCTTTGGCTTGCCAATTACAGTCTCCACCCTTGGAGTGTCATTTTTTATCTCTCTTGCCCTTGCCCTTCTTTTGGGCTTGAAAGACTCGAACTTGTTATGTGGCTTAAACTCCACCAAGGATTCAGCGGCGCTCATGGCTTTGGCTAGATCACGAACTCTTCTTCTTTGTAGCTCGTGTTTCACCCATGGCTTAAGTCTATCTATGAAGGTGAAAAAACCATCGATCTCGCTCGAATCTAAAATCTGCAATATCAATTTAGAGAACTTTTGGATATAATCCTTTATCTCACCTTGTTAAGTAAGCCAATGCAATTTTGCACGCATTTCATCATTGGCTTGGGGTAGAATTGCTCCATGAATTTTTTTTAGAACTCTTCCCAGGTTTTAATTAAGGTACCATCACACCTCACCTCATTGCACTTTTACCTCCATTACACTAAGGCAACATCAGTAAGATGCATCGAAGCAGTCTTACCTCAGTAGTATCATTCTGCATGCTCATGACCTAAAACTATGGGTCCATTCCTCATAGAAAGTTGTTCATTTCCTTGGCAGCCCTGTTCCCTTTGAACTCTTTAAGCTTGAGGACATTCACATGAGCCTTAAGCACTCCAGCGATCACGCCATTCCCAATGGTTATTTTGCAAGCAGTAAGCTCTCACTTGATCTTTTTCATCTCCTTACGCATGGTCTTCCCCAGGGCTTCCAAGGCCTTATTCTGTTGGGTGAAGAAGTCGATGGTCTGACTTAGAGCAACTTGCATCTCACCTTTGAGCACCTCCTCCATGGAGTCCAAATCCTCCATGTGAGTCTCCATTTCGTTAAGCTTTTCTTTCACATCAGCCATTATCACCTCCACCTTAGACACCTGCCTGTTCATGGTAAACAAAATGTCCCTCGAACTAGTTGTCTTACCCCTTTTGCAGCCTTGCTCCTGAGCTTTTGGTTGTTGGCAAGCAATATCGCTCTGAAATGTTATTTCCTCGAATGCCTTAATGCGACCCGAACACAACCGTCAAGTAGAACTTGCTCTGATACCAACTGTCATGAGCTTTGGTCTTAAGCCAAATTCTATGTTGGCTTAGATTGGGAATTGATTGTGAATGCCTAAGTTAACCTATAAACAAGTGTGTGAGCACAAAACAAACACCAAAAGCCAGAATATGCAAACTAAGAATACAAGGGAATGTTGAAATGCTCTGTATATTACTCAGTGGTGATTGAATACAAATGAAGGAAGGGCGGTCCTCTATTTATAGTTGAGGCCCCAGCTTTGGTATGGTCCTAATATTAAGGGATTATAATTTCAAATTCAAAAATAAAGATTACATCCTAATTCTAAAGATTCACTAGGTCCCTTTCTATGTGCTACAGATCCTAGGCTTCTAAATGGTTTTGGTTTAGCCTCACTCCCCTGGGCCCACCTAAGTATGGTGCGAGAATATTATGGGCTTGGTTTCGGTGTTACAGGTAGGCCTGATTGTTGGGCGAGCAATCCAGATGTTTTTACCATGATTATTGCATAAACGCTTGCCTTTGTCCTTGGTGCTTAAGCCTTGACCGTTTGGGCGTTATTTTTAGCTCTTAGTGCTACAGGCAGGCTTGACTGTCAAGCGGGCAGTCAGGATGCTTTTACCATGATTATTGTGTGAACCGTCGCCTCTAGCTTTGCTACTCAAGCCTTGGCAGTTAGGGTGTGGTCCTCAGCGCCTAATGCGTCCTCCTAGGCGTTACATTTTCCCCCACTTGATCTTGCAACGCTCTCTTCGTGTCCTCTGTGTGAAACTACCTGATTTGGTATCGAAAAACTTTTAAAACACTAGAATGAGAGATTGAACCTATGACTTTATGGTTAATAATTATATGCTTTAACCGACTGAGCTATTTCAATGTTTTTATATTTTATCTCTTAAATCTTATAAGTAATAAAATGGATTATTTAAAGCGTTTTTTTACCAAAAATATCTTAAATAACAAAAAATGCCTTAAATAATCTCCTTTAATTTTTTGAAAGGCATTATTTAAAGCGTTTTTAGAATAAAAATGCCTTAAAAAATTCACTGATACATTTTAAAATGGATTATTTAAGACATTTTTGGCACCTTAAATAAGCCAAATAAAAAAATTAAAGGGTATTATTTAACGCATTTTTGGTTTAAAAGCACTTTAAAAAATTCACTGATACATTTTAAAGAGGATTATTTAAGGTGTTTTTAGACCAAAAATGCCTTAAATAATTTTTTATATTTTTTAAATGATTAACAACCCTCATATATATCAACGAGATTATAGTAATTATTAAAGATTTAATATATGTGAATTCTCTCCAACCAAACGAGTGAATCTGAATACAGGATACTCTGAAAATAACAAAAAACTCTAGGTATCGCACTTTCTCGGGGATCATACTTTTCTTCGAAATTTATAATTTCGTGAACCAAACACCCCCTTAAGATTGTCCTAAATTTAATTAAAGATTTTTAAAAAGAATAGATTTTGGTTTATATCAATATAATTAGGTTAGGGAGTTAATTATATGTAAAAAAGGTTTTAGCACCTCACAATACTCAAAATTGATATCAAATTAATTCTATGTTATCTTATCTAAGACTTAATTCTAATGATTTTTATTTTTTATTTTTATTAATTTTGATATTTAAATATTAAAAAAACTTTAAATTTTCACCAAAAATTTTTTTCCTCAATTTAAGAGTATTTAAAATAAACTAGTTGTTTACTTTAAAAAATTTCGTCATGGAATTTATTAAATATCTTATGACAAATAAACTAATTTATTCCTTTTTATTTATTTATAAAATATTAATTTTAAATAATGATAAAAATTTTACAAGTTTTTAATTATAAAATAAAATATTTATATTTTTTTTAAAAATTCAATTTAATTTTTTATTTTTATTAATTAAATCAATAAATCAATAGATAAAAAAATAAAATCAAAATAAATAAATATAGAAAAAAATATATAAAAAAATAGCAAAACAAAATAATTTTATAAAAAAATTATTTCACAAATTTTTATCCTAAGCTACATTAGATAATAAACAAATATAACATCAGAATAAATAAAAATAAAAATAAATACCTAACCAATGTTATTGGACAAACTTGAAATAAAGCATATTGCCAAGAAAATTTTTACTTAGACTTTGTTTGCTTTAATTTTAGTGTATACTTTTTTTCTTTTTTAACTTTTTGATTTTTTTTAATTATTGTTGATTGCTTAATTGTTTGTTATCTTATTGAATTGTCGATTGTTCTTATGATCTCCTTTTCTAATTGCTTATTGATTTTTCCTTCTTCACCTTTGCTTGAAACTTCTTCCTCAAAGCTCAAAGTTTTGTATTACTTGATAATTGTTCTTTTCTTTCTTATGGAAATTTGATTATCAAGAATTACTAGAATTAAACTCAATTTTAAAATTTTAAATCTAAATAAAATTATAATTTCTTTTAAAAAAATCAAATTTTATGTTTATTTTTTAAAATAAATAAAAATAAAAAATGCTTTTGAACTTTTAAATTTAAGCTTAAAAATGATTTTTAAAACCCAAATTTAAAATGTGATTTCAGACCTAATAATATTAAAAAGATCTCAAATAAAATTGAGCATCTAAATATACAAAGAGTTTAAAATAATAGCAGCGTCCCGGTGATAACTCATTGTGAATTCAAAGCTGTATTTCTTTTCCATGATGCTTAATTACTTTGCTATTGTTAATTCATGCCATCTGCTTTCGACTTTCGTCAACTCAGCCATTTCAAAAGTTTCTGATTCTTGGTTGCTGTGATTTCAATCGAATTCAGGCCAGAAGATGGGAGAACGATAAAACCATTAAGTCTAGCGCAGCTGGTCCGCTTAGCAATTATAATTTATGATTGGTTGGATATCCGCTGGCTAAAGGCATACTACAGTTTGGGTTTCGAACACTTTAACATGTCATGGAAAAAAGTGGGTCTTAGGGGTCTTGTTGACTGCCTCTTGGGGAATGCAGGGCCGATTGCTACTGGAGACTGGATCTTTCCTGATCTTACAATTCAAGGGTCAATAAGTCTGAACTGCCATCTACAAACCTTCCCCAACACATTCTATTTCAGCTACGCTACCAAATGTACAAGGAAGATCCTGGGTGTCACACTTCCTTCTGGCATTCTTTGTGTACACCCCATGCTTTTTATACGAGTATTACAGATCAGCCAGTGGCGTCATCCTCCGGATGTTTCTCCCCCTTTTAAAGGCTACAGGTGTGCTCCAAACAGCACATATTGTTACATCGACTTCATATATAAATTCTTTGGTTGCTTCCATTTGATTGCTCAAGGTTTCCTAGGTTCGATATTATCTTAATATTTTTGAAGAGGATCCTGAATAAATTCTTAGTTTTATTAGACATAGGTACCTGGACCGACCAAACAGCAACTTGCCTTAAAAAATTGTTACGATACCACCAAGAATACTGTGCTAAATCTCTCAACTTTCAAAATGTTGGCTTTCCTCTGTGGATTGCATATTTATAATCTATATTTCAAATTTTTAGAAATTAGAATTTTCATACTCATTTGAAATTATGGCCTTTCAAATAAATTTTTGAAAAATGGTATGATTATGGAAGTTTTGGGAACTTTTAATTTGAATAGTCACATCCTACTGATGCCTTTCAAAAAAAATATTTGCAGGGACGAAGATTGGCGGGACAATGATGGAGCTATCAACACAATATCCATGACTTACCCTCAGCTCCCAATTGAACACCCAAGCCGTTTTGTTGTGAATGATTACGACTGCCAACCCTTGCAGCCGGGGATATGGTTAGTAATACCATCTCCACTATCATTGACATATTTGAATTACTAATAAAATGGTAATGATGAGTTTGCTTATAAATTTCAATTATAAGATGATTATTTTAACAACTGCTTTTGGGGATGACTGAATTGATTTTTTAAACTTTGCTCAGACCACTTGTTTATCAAGCATATGGGTTTAATTCTAGTAATTTCTTTCGACAAACTGTTTATGCAACGAAGGCATTACCAAACAAATTCTTACCTAATCTTACCATTGCCAATTATCAATGTCCAGTCTTATGAAACGCTTGGTGAACTTATTGGTTACTATTTTGACATTGGCTTTTTGTAACTCTGTCTTGAATTCGGAATGATTGTTCTTTATTGCTAGTGTTAAACAAAATAATGAAGAAAAATGCAAACAAACATGTGAATCCATATTAAGATAGGACCACCAATTTTATCTTACACAATCCTCTTGAAGAAAACCATCTGATTGATGTAGAAATTCTACAGGCAGCATTAAAAAAAATTGCAAAAGTATTATGTTGATAATGGCTTTGCATTTGCACTGAAAATACTATCTCTGCTTCTCTGAGCTGACTTAGGATTTCATTGACCATTGCAGGTATTACAAGATTATAGAGGCAGATCACATGTTGTTCATTCTGAATAGGGAAAGAGCAGGCGTTCAATTTGATCTGATGTATGACAGCATTTTTGAGCGTTGCAGAAAACATATTGTTAGGGAGACTTTACAAACCATACGCAATCAAACTCCGTAATAGTTTAGCACCTGTTATTCTCACACACCTGCTGCAAGTCTACTACTGATTTGTAGCAGCTCTCATTATGTTTCACCCCACAATTTCTCTTCTCGTCTATTTCATTTTTCACTCCTTTTTACCCTCTTTTGACCTCCTATAAATGTAATATTTCACTTTCATTTCTATTTTTCCTAGTACTAATTCACTAGGTTGTTGTTATGTGAGGGACATAACAAGCATTGTCTTTATATCAATGCTTTATCTCACTAAATTTACATGCATTTTGGTAGTGACATTTTCATATCATGTTTTTACGTGTTTTGCTTCCTTTCTGTTCAACCAAACTCTTTAAAATAAATTATATAAAATCACGCGGATTGAAAGTAACTCTTTGAGATTTAAAAATTGATATTTAATTGTTATACGATTTATTTTGTTGTTCTTTTGTCCAGAATCGTTTTTCTGTTTTCTTTTTAAAATTCTTCTTTTATTTTTTTTCTTCTTCAAAAATTCTCTTTTTCTTTCTCTAAATCTAAAAAAAATTTTAAACTCAATGAAAAATCATTATCAACTATTCAATCATTAATCCAAATTAACATCCCACATTAATTTATCAAGTTTTTCCATCTAGCATAAAGGACGTAATCCAAAGCATAACCCTAATTATTATCCTAAAGCAAGACTAACAAGATAATAATAATTTAACCAATAAATTCTTGTATATCATAAAAAAGTTTCATAATTAGAATAGATGAATAATTTTATAAGAATAATTAGAGACCCAATTCTTAAAAATCTAGATAGCCAAAATCAAACTCAAATTCTTATTTAATTTATCTAAAAAAACCAATAAAATCCCAATTGGAACGAAAACCCACATCCAAAAATATACAAAAAAAAAAAAGGAAATACTTACATCTAAATTTTAACTTAAAAAAATCACAATCATGATCTAATACGAACTCTATCCAAAAGAGAAAAAAAAGGAAAGCCTGCAACCACATCTAAAAATTCAACTAAAAAATTTATTATTCAATAAAAATGTCAAATAAATAAAAAAATAAAACACCCAAATCAAATTTAGCTTGAAAAGCAAAAACCACATCAAATTGCAAATCAAATCAAACTAAAAAAACTGTCTTGTTTACTTTGAACCAAAAGTACTATTTCAATTCATCTTCTTCCTCTTCAACATCATCAAATCAATCAAGAAAAAGATCACATAGCATATAGAGAATGCCAAATTCAGTTGCAGTGCAATGATCTAGTTCAAAATCAAACTGATTTTTCTCTCAGCTTAGCATTTTTCTAGTTCTAGAGAGAAAAATAATAAACTTTTATAGAAGAATGAAAAAATAAAAGATAAAAAAAGGGGTTTTTGTAAAGAAAACAAAAAAAAGGCACATTTTTGGGTAAAAATTATGATAAAATAAATTACAAGGTAGTTAAGTATTAACTTTTAAACCTCATGAGTTACTTTCAATACATTTCAAAATACAAGGTAGTTATATGTAATTTACCTTTTTTTTTAAATGAAAATGAATCTTCTAGGCATTGAGCCTTCTATTTGGGAAGTGGACCTTGATAACTGGGTTTCAAGAGGTTTTTTTTTTTTTTTGGTTTAAATAAAATTTTAATTATCAAACATGCCATAAATGTTGGTATATACTCTAAGACCAATCGGATTGGCTACAAGATACATGTCATAATATGCATTTCTATTATTATCAAATGTATTTTTTATTTATGAGATTGTATACACATAATTAGTATTACTTATTTTTTATTGATAAAGTTCTTAGAATAAATATGCTTTGCAAGAGAATTATAATGAGATTGTAATTATGAGATCATCATTGTATTAAAGTATTATTCCTAGATTATTCTTAGCAGATGCTTTATCAAGAAAGGATATTTATAAAATTGTTGAGACTAGTATATGGTTATGTTTTTGCTTATGAAGCATGTAACCGGTCTCATAAGTTAAAGTTTGGATAAACTTGAGCTAACTTATAGGTATTTATTACAAGAAAAAATTCACTGAATATGATCCGAAATGAAAATGCTATATGATAGTTCACATAGTATCTATATTTATATTCTCATTTGATGGTTGTATAAGTGATCCATTGACTTGAGATTACTTATGATCTTATACGATTAATATTATACTTTGATTTTACTTATGTTCTAACTAAGAATACTCCAGTCGAGTATTGTTAGAAATAACATGAAGCATATGAAGATGCATAAAGTAATCAAGGTGGGATTTATCACCTTTTGTGATCAAGAAAGTATCTCAATTAGTCTTGATTGAATTAACTAAAGAAATATTTGACCAAAGTGAAATAATAGTTTAGAATTGTTCTAAAGCTTATTTGAGAGTTAATGTCAAGGACAAGACTTAATATGGTTAAACAAAAATTATATACACACTAAATCATAGTTAATATTCAAGTCGAGATGCTTAGTGATGAAAGAATATTAATTATACATCAAGATTATGCACGGATAGGTTGTCAAGCCACATTGATTTTCTTTAGTAATTGGGGATCATGACAATATAGTTAGTAGTGATTATGATCTATAAACATGAGATTGGCTAATTAGAGAATTAGTGATGTAGTCAAAAAGTTTGATTTATCTAAGTCTGAATATAAGGATCATGGGTGGTTGGTAATGGGAGCTTGAGGCCCCCCCAAAAAATTTTTGAAACATTTTTTAGTATGTATATATATATATATATATATTTATGTTAAATACATTTAAATTGATTATCTAAATTAAAATTGTTAATTTTATTATTTTTTATTTTAAAATTCAAGTTTATTATTATAATTTAAGAGATGTTCAAATCGCATTGATATTTGTTTATTTATTGTATCCAACAATTATTATTAGCAAATTCTTAAAATAAAGAGATTTGTCATAAGTTTTAAATTACAATCAAATGAACTTAACAAAAGTCAAATTAACTTTTCAACTTTCTCAACAAGATTCAAGTTTTTGACCAAGCACCAAATATATTTTTCTTTTCTTTTTTTTGTCTTTTTGCATACAAAAGAGGTTAAAGTTTAAGAAATCAAAGGAAAAGAAGATAGCTTACCACAACTCCTGTCCATATCATTTCTACTTTTATTTTACTTTAGATCTCTATCATACGTTATAATTCTTCTTTCAACAAACAAAAATCATATTGGAACTAGCTTATAAAAAGATAGAAAAAATATTATAACTTTTAGTCTCAAAATTTCATTTCCATTCTTTTAAAAATGTATTTAGTTTTCTTATTTTGATAAAATATTTAATGATTGATTTATTCATACTTCTTTCTTATGTCAATTTTAAATTGCCAAAAAAATAAAAAAATATCATAATTCATTGACAGATTGTGTAATAAGTAATTCTACGATTAATTGTAAATCATATTATTGTTAAAAGAATAATGTTGTCATAGTAATATTTTTGTTTTATAATTTTATGAACTTATAATGTTTTTATTATTGTTTGCATATATATATATATATATATATATATATAGTCTAATAAAATATACCTTAGAAAAATAATAAGATAAAGTATATTATATATTAAAATTCACTACTAATAAGGATTACAATACTTATATTTATTGCCAACATGCTAAGAACCTAATAAGTCACATATAATAGGATATATTGTGAAAGATTAAAATTAGGATAAATTAAATTGAACATAATTTATTGGGTTAAAATCCAATATAGAGAAACATACAAAAGTCTAATACTAAACAGGACATTTTATCTTCGATCAAGTAAGCAATACTATTGAGAATAGGACTTGGTCAATGGGTTATTCTATTGAGAATAGAATTAAGCATAAGGAAACTCTAATATCCTAGGGTTTTGACTTACCTCTTATCTCTATATAAAGAGCTTAAGCCACCCCCTTTTTTGGAGCATTCTAAAAGAATAGACATCTCATGTGTTGAGAACAATTAAAAGAAAACACAAATAAGGTAATCGCCTAATCTCATAAGTTAGAAATTTCAGTTTTGAGTTCTTCGCATCTTTTGTAGAAGGTTCTTTTATCTTGTTTATGTGGATCATCATTAGAGGTTAAACATTTAGACAACTCCAGATTTGCAAAAACAAATTGATTGATCTCTTGCTTGGTTCAAAGGGAGGTAGCCATAAGAGCTAATGCACTACTAGCTGAAACTAATTATTGTGTTTGCATAATTTTGTTGATTGATCTTGACTTTAAGGAGTTGAAAATGTTTAAAATTTTACTGCTAATACTCTATATATTGATACATAATTCCCTTCAAGTGGTACCAGAGCCTTGTCAATATAGATTATACAACTTGGAACCTTGTTTGGTTGTTCTTAATATCAAAACTTTTTTATTACAATCTATCTATTGTGATGAGAAGTCGAGAAAAATGAGTTTTTCGATTTTTTTTTATTTGATTCTTTTAAAATATAAAAATATAATGTCTTAGGATGATTGAGATTAAATTTAATCATTTATGGACGTGGTTTACTCACCAAGATTAAATTTACTTCATGATCAATAAACTATTCTAGGTTCTAGCAACCTGCTATGTGCAAGAAGAAAATTTTGGTTCTCTATCTAGTGACCTTTAATTTATTTGAAATTTTAACCCATGATTCTATACTGATAGAGAATCTTTAGTTTAAAATTTGAGAAATTTTGGACAAGATTTACCTGGCCAAATTAGAGTCAATTTGAAATTTGCCCATTACTTCATGCAAAACTAGTGGTGTTGGATAGGAAAAATTAATTCTCTCTCTTGGGTGATCGGTTTGCTACAAGATTTTAACACAAAATATTAGACATATTGAGGGTCATTTTCTTAAATCTTCAAATTTTTAGGAGTTGATTTGGTCATTCAAACGTTAATGACAAAATATGCCCAAAAAACTATTTCTAGCGGCTGCATGTGTCTAAATTGTTTATATGCATAAAAACCCTAATTTGTTTTGGAGACTATATTTTCTTGATGCAACTAGTATTCTTAAATGTTAAGAGTCTTTTAAAACTTAATCACTAAAGAGGATGTACTAGATGCAAGCAAACTTTCCTATTTGAAATAGGATTCGGTGAAATCGTAGATTGGTTTTACTCCATGTATGATTTGGATTCCTAAAACGTTTAGGATTCCTAATTGACCTAGAACTAGAATCTTGGACTTGACAAAAATTGTAGTTGGACTTGGATCTTAATTAACTTGATAATCTTTATTGAATTAGGATTTGTATGACCAAAATAAATTAAGAATCCTAGTTGAATTAATAGTCATAAATGCTTTAGGATATTAATTACACAAAGAACTACAAATCCTATTTTGATTAGAACTAAACTACTAATCCTAACATGACTAGGATT